TCATAGCGACCCCTCCTTGGGTTTCTGAGGTGGTATCATTATGGAAGTAGATTGCCCAACCTTCCTTCTGAGGAGTGGCTGATGGGTTTGAACCACCAGCCTTCTGGTTAGCAGTAAAGTTCCTTAAAGCACTAAGCTACCAGAGATCCTACCTACAAACATAACAATTTAAATGAAATTCACACAATCTTTGAAATACAGAATTTACAAAAGTTAACACAAAATGAAAGAAAGAATATGAACAGCCCTGTATTTACAAAATAGTTTAACTTTATTATCAAAAATATTTCCAAGAAAACTTCATGACTAGATGATTTCCTTGTAAATTCTATCAAACATTCAAGGAAGAGATAACATCATTCATACATAATTTTAAATAAATAAAGGGTTTTATAAGGTCAGCATAACCCCAACACCAAAACCTGACAAAGACATTACAAAAAGTGAAAATAACAGACTAATATTCCTCATGAACATGCACACACAAATGCTTAATAAAATTAGTAAACTGAAGCCAACAATGTAGAAATAGGATGATGATATACCATGAAAAAGGGTGCTTATTTTAAGAATGCATAGTTGATTTAATATTTGAAAATTCTAATAAACATGAATTTTTGAATTAGGCAAGCTGATGGAAAAATTATTATGCATATATAAACATATAAACATATAGATTCTAAAAAATGAGACTAATGAAAGGGAAGTAACCCTACCATACATTAAAGCATAATATAAGGTTCCAATAATGAAAACAGTTTTGTACTTGAGTACACAGACAAATAACTAGAATGAAATGGAAAATCCAGAAATAGACACAAATACTGGAAAATTAATACAAGATAAAAGTGGTATTTTAAACCAATGGGGATAGATGGAATATTAATAAATGATATTGAGACTTCTAGACTGCCATCTAAAAGAAAAATAAATCTGATTGCATATTGTACTCCTTACTCAAAGCAAATTCTAGATTACACATAAATGCAACTATGTTTAAAATGAAATCATAAAAATACTAGAAAAAACTATGAACTTTATATTATAACTTCAGTGTGAAGAAAGTCATGAAAGACTGACAAATTTGACAACCTAAAAATTAAAAATATTTCCACATAATATAAAAGAGCATTAGGAAGCCAAAAGAGATATGACAACTAGGGGAAAAAAAATATTTGCAACATAGTGACAGATCAGAGGTCATATTCTTCTCTCTCTCTCTCTCTCTCTCTCTCTCTCTGTATATATATATATACATATATAAAGAACTCCTACAAATCAATAAGAAAAATTCCAATGGCCAATAGAAATGAATTGGGCTATGATTATGAATAGGTAACTCACAGAAAAAATAATTAAAATGGCTTTCTAACTTAAAAAAAAAAAATACTTGCTTCAAATTATCATAGGAGCCCTGGTGGCACAGTGGTTAAAGCACTTAGCTGCTAACCAGAAGGCCATCAGTTTAAACCCACTAGCTTCTCTGCAGGAGAAAAATGAGGCATTCTGCTTCCACAAAGATTTGTTGTTGTTATGTGCCGTTGAGTCAGACCTGACTCATAGCAACC